AAAAAAAAAAAAAAAAAAACAAACAAACCTGCCTTAAAAAAATCAATAATAATAATAAATAGTATAAATAAATCAGTAGACCTGAGTCACTTCCTGGAGCGCCCTCCTCTCTGCGAGTCCCAGAGGACAGAGTGGATGACGGATGACGATGCCACTCACCCCTCAGAGGACTGAGCTCAGCTCCCAGCACCCACAAGGAGTTCATCACTATCTGTAACTCCAGTTCCGGGAATTCAGTTCCCTCCTCTGGCCCCCAAGCTGAATAAAACCTTTCCTCCCCAACTAGCTTTTTGGTCCTGCTATTGCAGCAATAGAAACCCTAACTGAGACAGCTTGAACATATCACCTTTTGAGGTGTGTGAGGGGTGGCTTGTCTTCCTGTCTCCATGCTTAGTGACTTCTAGTTGAAGAATTGTGAACATTCACATGGTACATATACATACATTTGGAAAAGCATTCACACACATTAAATTTTTTTTAAAAAATCAACAAATATGCTGGGTGTGGTGGTGCACACCTTTAATCCCAGCTGAGGCAGGCGGACCTCAAGGCCAGCCTGGTCTACAGAGGGAGTTCAAACAGCCAGGACACACCTTGTCTTGAAAACCAAAGCCAAAAAAGAAAGAAAGAAGAAAGGAAGGAAGGAAGAAGGAAAGAAAGAGAGAGAGAAAGAGAAAGAAAGAAAGAGAGAGAGAGAGAGAGAAAGAAAGAAAGAAAGAAAGAAAGAAAGAAAGAAAGAAAGAAAGAAAGGAAGGAAGAAAAAAAATAATGCTGTGTGGTAGTGGTACATGCTTTTTTTTCCTCCTGGTTTTTTTTTTTTTTTTTTGAGGTAGGCTTTCTCTGTGTAATAGTCCTTGATTCTGTCCATCTGGAAAATCCCAGCACTCCCCTCAAAAGTTTCCTCTTCAGCAGGAACTTGGCCTTGCGCAGCCTGGATCAGGCTATAGGGAGGAATAGGGGCTGCTCAGCAAGCCAGTATGCCAGCCTTGCCTGAGGTGCCAATCCCCGGGCAGGTTTGTTATGACATAGGCACTGAAGATCGTAGCCCTCTGCTCTCGGGGGACCTTGAGCCTGGCTTTGTGAGCCCCGGATCACTGGCTCCTCCCCTGTGTAGGCAGGCCTCTCTCCATAGGTGACAAAACTAGAGCTTTTATGAAAAAAATTTATTCAACTGAAAGGATAGGAAGAGAAGTGACAGTCAGTAGTCAGTGAGTATTCAGGAGTTTCATCAGCTACCTGAGCTGTTTCCCCCAATCGCCTGGTGGGCTCTCTGAGAGAGGATTAAGTCCCTGGAAGGAGGTACCAGATATCTAGGACTAGCTGGCCCTCAGAAAGGATAGGCGACCCTGTGAGTGGATCACAGGAAGGGGCCACGGCCAAACCAGCTGACCCTGGGACTAGGGAGAGTGAAGGCTCTGCAGGCCTACGCTCCAGAGGAAGCTGAAGAGGTGGAGGTCTGAAACCCGCCCTGTCCTGAACTGGCACTGAGTATAAATGGAGGTCTCAGGTTGTCAGTGATGATCCCTTTCCTGGCTGACCCTTGGGCTGTCCTGGCTGTGGGCAAGGGCCTGCTCTGGGGATATTCTGTGTCTGTGTGGTGTGAGAACACCAGGGCAGAAGCTTCAAGCTAGGAGAGAAGAAACTGAAGAACTGAGTCAATCAGGCAGTGTGCATGTGGGGGTTGACACAAGGGCACGCTCTAAGCCCTTAAGTCCGAATCTTGGCAACATCAAACCTAGTATGCTGACACTCCCATAATCCCAGAATTTGGGAAACTGGAGAGGGGGGCTGAGAGTTCAAAGCTAACCTGAACTACATAGCAAAACCCTGCTTTTAAAAAGAAAGAGCAGGGCAGGATAGTGAGAGAAAGAGAGAGAGAACCAGAGCAGGAGGCAGGTGGGCGGACAAATCATTCCTTGCCTGCTGGGACCAGGCTGCAGGGCGCCTGCCTCACATGGCCAGAGGCAGACAGAGAGGCCCCAGCAGACGGGTCCAGTTTCACCTTGTCCAGTACGGTCTTTTTTATGGCAGCAGGGGAGACGGTTTCCTGATCAGCCATGGTCTGCAGCTTCCTAGAAAAGCAGTGAGACGCCGGATCTGAGGACGATGACGCCGCCTTCTCCCAGAACCCACACTTCCAGCAGCAGTTTTGGTGGGCACCCCGTTTCTGGGCATCTCATACTCACACCCTCCCTTTGCCTATACAGCTGCATGGCCACTGCTCATGTCACTCAGGGTCACCCTGGCACAATATCAACCATCAAGGGGCCTCAGCACACCTAGCTCTAAACTGTCACTGCCCAGTGTGTGGCAGGGTCCTGCTTCTGTCTTGCTTCTGGGCCATGCTAAGTGGCTAGGTCCCATGTGCAAGCCTTTCGGACCTTCGCTCAAGACTTCTCTAGGCATCTGTACTAGAAGGTGGACACTGGCGAGAAAGGCTGGTGGTCTACCCTGCAGACAGGAGCCTGGGACAGTGATTCCAGCCTTGGCTCTGCTTTCACCAACTGAGCAAACCTGGACATGTCTCCTTCAACTCTCACCAGGCTATCTTGCTGCCAACATGCTGCCATCTTAGCTAACTTGCTTAACCTGGAAAAGGATGTGAAGAAGGTGCCGGGCCAGGCCCCTTAAACTGCCCAGCCGTCCTTCTAGCCTGGTTCCCTGGCCTTGGTGATGAGACTGAATGAAGGCTGCATGGCAGGACCACAGAAGGTCTACAGACCCTCATAGACGCCCCTTCTCACAGGACAATGGAAAAGAGCTACAGGATTGCATGTTGTAACCTGGAAACCATAAAGCTTCCAAAATCCTGCCCAGGGCCTGGACGGGGCGCAGTGGCATCTGCTAAGTGAATCACTTCATTGACGCCTTTGAAGCCAGGGCGCTGGTGTGCTGGAGTGGGCGGCTGGGAAGCGGGACGCCGAAAGCCTACCGGGTGCGGCTGCAGGAGGCCTCCACAGCGTCGATAAGCAGGGAGCGAAAGCCACCACTCTCCAGCACATGCAAGGCATGGATGGTGGCTCCCCCGGGAGAGCAGACATTGTCCTTGAGCTGGCCCGGATGCTGTTCTGAGTCCAACAGCATCTTGGCTGCCCCCTGTGACAAGGAAGATGGAATGACAGTGGTAGGGCACACTCCTGCCTCTCCGGAGTCCAGGCCTCAGCCACCAGAGCACCTGCGGACTCCCCCACTCATCTGTTCCCAGGATGCCAATTTGCACTGCGGAAGGAACAGCTCCACGTATCTCAAACCACTAACCAGGAGGGCCTGGGCCCCAAGGCGGACTGCCAGGCGCCTGGGAAGTCCCATTTTAACTCCACCATCAGCCAGCGCATCCAGGGCCATGAAAGCCTGTGGGAGAGTGCATTCAGCCACGGTTGGTCCCGGGGACCTGCCCACAGCCCTGCCCGCCCGCCCCCCACTGCTCCAGCGCTCACGTAGGCAGGGCCACTGCCGCTGAGCCCCGTGACGGCATCTATCAGGTCCTCCTCCACCTCTGTGCAGAAGCCCACGCTGCCCATGAGCTGCTCCACCAGCCTGCCGTCCTCCACCCGGGCGTGAGTGCCCGTGGCATACACAGTGACGCCCTCCCGAACCACGACCGGGGTGTTGGTCATACAGCGGATGACTTTGGGAGCCGGCTGGAACGCCGTCAGCTTCTGGAAGAGAAGGCAGCTCTGTCACTCTGGCTTTGCCGCTGTCCCCATCCCAGGCATGGAGGTGAGTGTGGACCTGCCTCCCCCGCTGAGCATCTCCTGAGCGCTTGCTGTGGGCCGGGCTGCCATGCCCTGCACACAGGTGAAGAAGTACCCCCCCCCCCCCCGCAGAGCTCCTACCACAGGCTCCACCCACTTGGCAGCCAGCGGTCTGGCCCATGACACCCACCTTTTCAATGGAGCTGATGGTAACGCCGGCCGCACAGGACACCACAGTGTGCCTGTCCTCGATGTCAGCCCCGATCTCATCCAGGATGAAGGGGATGATGTGTGGCTTCACAGCCAGGAAGAGCACATCACTGTGGCTCACGGTCTCCCTGTTGTGGGGTGTCAGGTTCACCCCTATCCTCTGCAGAGGTGCAAGGAGACTCAGCTCACCTCATGGGCCATCCACCCACAAAGCTGAGACCCTGTGAGTACAGAAGCCTAAAGGCTGCTGGATGAAACGGAAAAAGCACTATGCCCTGGAGTGTGTCCCCTCTGAAGTAGAAAAGGGACACCGCAGCCTTCTAAACCACAGACGGCTGTCATGGCCGCATGCTCCACAGCTGCCTGCCTTCCAGATGTGGGTGGTGGGCTCACGCTGGGAGCCTGCTCCCACACCCTTGGCCTGAACTCCCGGCCGAGCCGCAGCAGACTCTAGCCACCACCTCTTCTAGCCAACTGTCCAGTCCCCTTGCCGTGTGGCCTTTGGAAGGGCTCCTTCAACCCCCCTCTAGGTAGCCCCATTCCAGACTAGCACCCTCCCCTGCCAGCTGGGCTCATGACAGGGCAGGGAATCAGCCTCTGGAGCGTCCCCATGCCGGTCTGCTTCTCCCTCTGGAGTAGGCGGCTGCTCTCCACCCTGACCCTCACAGTGTGCTGCACACCTAACCTGAGTCCCAAAGACATTCAGGCTTTCTGTCTGCTTGGCACCTACCCGGAGGGCAGACACCGTGGCTTGGTCCATGTCTGGGGAGCTGGCCGTTATCTTGTGAGCAGCCAGAACACCTGTAGGGGACAGAGTTCCTCTCTCATAGCTAGTTCTAGCCTCTCATCCCCTTTAGGGCAGCAACCCTAAACATATGGCAGCTGCCATTTCCCAGAGGACTGAGGCCACTAACCCGGACACTCTACCTTAGCACCCTCCCTGGCCCCAGAGGAATCTACCTGCTGCTGTGAAGCCCTTGGCTAGGGCAAAGGCCAGCTGCCCTGCCCCAATGAAGCCCACGCTCATGTCTGGAGGTCCAGCACCCACAGCCTTCACAGCGTTCCTGCGAACTAGATGGACAGAATGGAAAGCTAAGCCCTGCGTCGGATGGGTAGGACCAGGTACGGTGCCTGGCAGCCAGGTCCGCGCCCCCCCCCCCCGCCCCATCCCAGCCTGCTTAATTTCCACTTTGCTCCTCCGCTGGCTGGGCTGGCAAGTTGTGCCAGCCCCCTCCACATCCCGTACCACCACCATCGGCCTCCCAGAGCTGGTTTGCCTGTCCTGCAGCTGAAGGTTCTGAGCCCCCTGCAAATGGCTCAGGGAGCCCAGGGAAGCAACTGACTGTAAGCCCCGATTCCAGAGCACCCTCAGCATTCAAGTCCCCAGTCCGCCGCCTAGGTCCTAGGATCCTCATCCTCTAAGCCTTCATTCTAGGAGTCCCATCCCGGGAGACCCGCTACCCACAGCGTAGCCACCCGAGCGCAACCAGACGCGCCTGGGCCCAGCCCTCTGTATCCGCCACGCGGCATCCGAGCCCCGGCCCCGCCCACTCTACCTCAGCCAATCCAGAGCTGCAGCCGGAGCCTTGTGCATTGCGTCATACTCCAACCAGTGCCGACGCGCCTCCCTGCTCCCTCCCTGAAGTGGACGGTAGTTGCGGATGCAGATCAGTACACCAAGAGCCAGGGCTACCCTACTCCAGCTGTTGTCTCATAGCAATTGTTCCTCTGCAGGCGCCTTCTGCAGCCACAGGCCCGTGGCTTCCCGCACCTCCTCCATCCTACAACACCCAGCTCCCCACCCATGGGTTTTAGGGATACTGTGCCCTGGGTACTCAGGGCCCATCTGCTCCCCCAAAGTAACGTGATTCCAATCCCCCGACTCCCATTAAAGGTGGCTTGCTTATTTTTTTTTTTTTTCTGTTCTGTTAGATAAAGACAAGCTGCTTTAGAAAGTAATTTCAAAATCCTTAGGAAGTTTACAGCCTGCAAGGTCTGGATTTCTGTCCCTTCTTCTTGACCATAGTGACCTTCACCGGAGGCTCCCTGGAGATGTCTGGGTGGCCAGTTTGCTACTCAGCTCTAACAAAAGGCTGGGAAACCTATGCACAAGGCCAGGAAGTTCAGTTTTCTAAGCCCAGCCCCCTAGTTCAGCTACTCCGGGTTAGAGAGCCGGCTCAGTGCTGAAGAGCACGTTGCCCTTGCAGAGGACCTGGATTCTGTTCCCAGCATCCGTACGGCAGCTAACGCTATCCAGAACACCTTTTCTAGAGGACGTGACACGCCTGTGAACTCCACAGTCAACAGCTATGCAAAGGCGCACGTACATGCACGCAAGCAAAAGTTGTGCGCATAAAATAATACCTGTCTTACAGTAATAAGGAGCAACGCCCCAAACACCGAAGAATGACAGCCCTGTGGTCCGGGAGCCCCGAAACCGTTCTCCCGTTCTCCTCTGGAGTCTGAGCTCTCTCCTCCACCTTCCCCCAGGACCACCTTAGGTTGGACACGATGCCGCACAGTGAGAACACATGTGGACTCAGAGACAGAAGCCTCATCTCAGAGGTTTTGCTAGTGAAAGAAGGAGAGGGACCCTCAGCCCGCCCCCAAAAAACAGTCAAATTTGGTGAGGTGTCACATACCTGTCACCCCAGTCCGGGAAAGATGAGGCAAAGGATGCCCAGTGGAAGGCAGGCTTGGCTACATTATGAAACCCTGTCTGAAGGGGAGAAGAAGAAAAAGGAAAAACAAAAGAGGGCCGGATGGGGCTGGGGAGATGGCTCAGTGGTTAAGAGCACTGGCTGCTCTTCCTGAGGTCCCGAGTTCAATTCCCAGCACCCACATCGTGGCTCACAACCATCTATAATGAGATCTGGTGCCCTCTTCTGGCCTGTAGGTGTACATGCAGGCAGACCATTGTATACATAATAAATAAATAAACCTTAAAAAAAAATCTTGCTTCTACAGCCTAACGACTTGAGCTGGTTCTCCCAAACCATGTAAGGTAGAAGAGACAAAAAGTCCACAAGGCTGTCTGTTGACCTCCACCCATGAAGTGTGGTGCCCCCCAACACATACGTCACACATGAGTAATACTGTAGATAGCGTCGAGAAGCAGGAGCGCCCCTCTCCAGACAGGATGAGGGTGGCTGACATTCTCTTGCCCCTTGGCTCCCTGATGTCGTGGCCTTCTGGTGCTCAGCACTTTCGTTATTCGGGCACCTGCAGACCCAGAAGCTGCCTATGCCCCCATCCAAGAAGACTAACTCAGTTTGTTGGCTGACCCAGCGTGCCCTCTCCAGCTGGCTGGCAAGGGCCACACAGTTCCACACAGGGCCAGGCTCAGAGCCCCGAGTCTAAATGTTCTTGGCTCCACTGCTCAGAGGGTGCCACAGTCCTCTCTACCTGTGATCTGGGTCCTGCTAACCTCCGTATGGAGCTTTGGGCGCCTCTAGGAAAGAAGAGGATGAGCCAAAATTCCTTCTTTGCATTTGGCCTTCTGAGCCACTCTAACATGTCTCTTTTCCAGAAGGCCCAGACAAAGCCTAGCCTTGCCTGTATCGGAGGACTCGAAGTACCCCAGAGGACAAATCCTCCCGGAATGACCTGGTTCAGGTCCTTTCCCAGAGCATGCAGTGAGAAGGTGGCTTAAGTGGTGCACTCTACCATAGCCCTGAGCAGCGGTGACTCAGTGGGCCTGGTGTGGGTAGCCAGAAAAGGGAGCAGGCCAGTTGAAAACAAACATCCACCTTTTATTTTCTGCAGGAGGCCTGAGGGACAGTCGGCTGATGGGCTGAAGGACTTCCCTGGGTTAGTCCAGCCTGGGCTCTCCCACAGACGCTGGCTTGACAGTGCTGACGAGCCCTGGCGTTCAGGAACAGCTGGCTAATCGGAGGCTTCTGGGTCTGCTCTGGCATCCGGGAAGCCCCGTCACCGTCAGGAGACCATCATCTTGTGGTGGGCATCTGGGAAGCCCTGTCTCTGTCAGGCTGCTGGGGACCGCAGCATGGTTTTTTCTCTGTCTCCGAGGCTGTGGCCGTCTGGATAAGCTTAGACACAGGTGAGGCCTGCGCTCGTTACCAGGTCTCTCTACAGCAATCACAACCGCCCTCCAGGGTTCTAGAAACCTTCTCTTCAGGCAAGGAAGGGGCCCTTCTCCAACATTCTTCCAGCGGCCTGGCCTTGGCATTCTTGGCTTGTTTTTCACCAATTTCAACCTCAGGAAACAGCCCGGCTTCTAACTTACATCACCACAGCTAAATGTTGTCTCAAGTGAATCCAGCCCACCCCAGAAGTCCATCTAGCTTTGCTGCGCCCATCTGCAAGATGATGACAACAGCGCATGCCCTGAAAGTTCCCATTTGCTATGGAGACTAGCACTGAGCCCAGGGCTGGCCAGGAAACTGAGAGGCAAGGCTAGGAAGAACGGGAGCCCATCAGCCACCCTCCACCCTTCGTGGGGAGGGCCTACTGCCCCTCTGCCCTTCCTCTTTGCCTCCCCTCCTGCTGCCAGAAGTCCAAGAGCAGAATCACCTAACCCCAACCTCCCTCTTGCTTCTTTATGTCTTGGTTCACCTTGCGGGGCTGAAGGTTCAGCCAGAGAGAGGAGCAGGCGGGCCTTTGCTGCAGGCTACAAGGTGGGCACGAAGCGGATCCTCTGGGAGTAGGCGAGGTCGGCGATGTACAGGAGCAGGTTGACGTAGGTGAAAATGGCCACCACCAACTGGCTGTCCCATGGGCAGCCGCCTCGGGGGCAGTCAGAGGGCCGCGCTGGCTCTCCGTACTTGGGGTCAAAGCAGAAGACTGGCCAGATGACCGCAGCGCTGAGGTACAGCAGCACGGCCAGGAAGGTGTACACCACCACCAGGCGGTCAAAGGGGCAGCCCAGGCCCTCTGTGTGTCCCATGACACTCAGGGCCACCACAGCCACCGTGGCTATGAAGCACAGGCTGTAGACAGCCACACACCACTGTGTGGCCATGTAGCGCCCGTAGCGGCTCTCGTGAACAAGCGCCCCGAAGATGATGCAGGCCACGAAGGCCTGGACGATCTTAAGGAGCCCAGACACTGTAGCCATGTAGCTGGCCACCTGACCGGGCCGCGCCCGCGTCAGGGCCACTTCAGCAGCGTAGGCCATGAAGAGGAGGCCCGCGAAGACGCTGGCAGCCAGGCGGAAATTCCGGGCCATGCACCCCGCGGGCTCGGGCGGGCACTCCAGCCGCGTGAAGTACAGAGGGTAGATGACGGCGGCCGTGGCGCACAGCAGAGTGGCCAGCATGGCGAAGGCCGCGGTGAAGTTACCCCAGGAGAGGCGCAGGCAGCTGTGGAGCCTGGTGAACTCACAGGCTACCACCAGGACCGAGAAGGCGAAGCAGAAGCCCCAAGCCGCCATGCAGAAAGTGCCCTGGACGCCCCCAAAACCGCCTCGGTGAGCAACCAGACTGAAGGTGGTACAGCCGAAGGCCAGCTGCAGCACTCGGGCCGTCCCCACCGGGGAGGTCACGGCGCCCAAGTGCAGGTACGCACCCCCCGGGGGCTCCATGGTGCTGCCCATCGGGGTCGCTCCCTCCCAGCCTCACACGGCGGGCGCCAGGCAGCCCAGAGACCTCTGTCCTCTGCGGCAGCGGCAGGTGCTGGCAGTCCGCAGTGGCCCTGCTAACAGTGACATTACAGCACAGCAGCTCTCCGCTGCCTGGGTTGGGAGCCCTCCCCCAGCGCTATAAATAAACAGCCTGATCAGAGCCCCGGAATAGCAGCCTGCACGCTGGTTCCCGTTCTGGAGGGACATCTGAGCCCCGCATCCCCCAAAGAGCCCCTGTCAGGACGACTGGTCAGCCCGTGGATGACCACCCACCTCCTGCGTCCGTCAATGTAGTCAGTACAGTGGGGGGAGGGGCTGGACGGGACGGAGAGCCCAGGCTTCCCCTCCCGGGATCACAGGGAAGGCATCAGGCACCCTCTGGGTCTCCTGTGCTAGGGGAAGGTTGCAGGGAGGTGGAGAGAGAGCAGGAAGCTTTCTTTATTGTTGTTTTGTAGGCCTGCGTCACCTGGCCTGCCTCAACAGAACAGAGATGGATGTATTAATTTAAAAATAAAATGAGAAAGAATTCCTGAGAGTTGGAGGGGGCTCCAAAGAAGAAATAACCGTCAGCTCTGGTTTTGTTTGTTTTTCATGTATTTATTTAGTCATTCATTCATTCCATTTATTTTGGAGATAAGGTCTCATGAAGCCCTGACTAACCTCAAACTCACTAAGTAGTTGAAGTTGATCTTGAACTTCTTTTTATTAAAAATAACTGAAGTCAGACTCATTTGTTTTTATCTTAGCTTGTGTGAACGAGTGGCTTGCCTGTGTGCACATGCGTGCACCTTTCGTGAGCCTGTGGGTGGTTGCAAGCCACCAGGTCTTGGAAACTGAACCTCTGCGGGGACAGCAAACACCCTTAACCACTAAGCCATCTCCAGCTCCGGAGCTTCTCTTTCTCATATTTGTTTATTTACTTATTTAATGCATGTAAGTGTAAGTTTTGCCTATGTGCACCGTGTGCATGGATAATATCTGTGGAAGTGAGAAGACCCTTGATCGCCTAGGATTGGAGTTATGGATGGTTGTGAACCAGATGTGTCCTGGGAATGGAGCCTAGAGGGTCCTTGCAAAAGCAACAAGTTCTCTTAACCGAAGAGCTGTCTCTGAAGCTGGGCTGTGAGCAGTTTCTCCTCCTCATCCTCTTCCTTGCCCTCTTCCGCTGTCTTCTTAGCTTCTTTGAGACAGGGTCTCTCTATGTAGCCCTAGCTATTCTGGAATTCACTATGTAGACCAGGATGGCTTTGAACCCGCAGAGCTCTGTATGCCTCTGCAGTGCTAGGATCGAGTGGCTGTACTGACATCTGGCTAGGATTTATTTATTTTTGTTTTATGTCTCTCTAAGTATTTTGCCTGCCTGAATATGTGTGCATCCGTGTTGTGAGCTCCCACGCGCATGTGCTCTGAGAATAGCCAGTGCTCCTAACTGCTGAGGTCCTCCTTTCTAACATTTTTCTTTGTACAAAAAACAAAACAAAAACAAATCAAAACAAAAACCAACAACAAAAAAAAACCATTTCTTTTTTTACAGCTACATAATTGGTACCTGTTCAAGCCCAGTCAATAAAAGAAAGGGAAGGAAACCCACAATCTTTTACCCAGAGCCAACCATGTTTACTACCTGCTGAGAGATCTTCACACTCTTCAACTTACAAGTGGAAAAATCAGATCTACAGAAGAGTCAAGCAGCATAACAAGCGTCTGTGTGCCCTTCACCGAGGATCAAGACTGAGTCTGTTTGTCTGTCTGTCGGTTGTCTTTGTAGCTGTAGGCAGAGCACTGGGCCTCTGTGACACCAGACAGGTGCTTTCCAGTGTTAATGTTGTGTGATTTGCTCTCACAATTATTTAATTCTGCTAATATGTCCACAGGCATCTCCGGAGCATAGTGCTATCCCCCTAGAGAACCCACCCAAACATTTCTGGACTGGGAGTTGGAGAGTGATCTAACAGGTAAGAATGTCAGCTGCCCTCACAGAAGACCAGGCTTTGATTCCCACACCCCCGTGGCTGCTCACAACTTTCTGTAACTCCAGTCCTAGGAATCCAGCGCCGGCACCAGGCATGCGCGCGCTGCACACGTGAAACACACACATCGGTGTTCAAGTTTCCCACTTTTTCCCAAGGTACACTGTGTAGCCTTTTTTGTTTGTTTTTTGCTTGTTTGTTTTTGGTTTTTGAGACAGGGTCTCTCTGTGTAGTCCTGGCTGTCCTGGACTCACTCTGTAGACCAGACTGGCCTAAAGCTGAGGGACCTGCCTCTGCCTCTGCTGGGATTACAGGTGTACACAGCCACCCAGCTGCACTGTGAAGCTCTTTAAGCATGGCTGTGCACCTAGGATGGGGAATTAGACATTGCGCAGGACCTGCGTGTACACTATGTTTTGTACTGGAGTGGGCCACACCCTTGTTTTGTACTTTGTGACTGTGGTGGGGTCTCCAGAGAACACTGCTCAAACTTTATGAGGCAGCTGGTGACCACACCAAAGGTTTGGGATCCCAGTGTAGCCCCAGGCCTTTCAAGCACAAAAACCACGTCCTGGCTTGACATGCTTCAGTTAACAACAGTTAGCCAGAAGCAAGGCTTCTGTAGGCTTTCCTGGAACTATGGGCGTACCCTGGCATGCAGTACTGTCTATATGTTGAGTTTGTCAGCTTGAATGGCACTTGCATCATGGAGTAAGTTGTGCTAAGGTATGGGCCCTGTTACAGTGACACTGGTGTTTTCAGGAGTCCAAGCCAAGGGTTTGACAGAGTATCCCTCGGTATGTCTTGATTCCAAACTAAAAGCTTGTAGCAGGAAGACTGAGGGGGAACAGCAGATGAATCATATGGAAGTCAACCATAAAGATGGATGGAGTATCTTATTACCCAACAGTCTTCCCAGGGTTCTTAGCGTCACAAACATTTGTCCTAGGCAGTGTTCTCTGCGAAAGGAGAAACACTGGTCACCAGATCTAAGACATTCATGAGATCTCTAAACATACCATGTGTTACTGAGGTGCAGTGTCTGCCGAGGTCTTCAGGTCTGTTTGTTTGTTTGTTTGTTTGTTTTTAAAATCAGACATATAGAATGTATTACAGCAGCTTGCTGGGGGCTGGGATCCAGCTAGTCCAGCAATGGCTGTCTGCCAATGAACTGTCTAAGAATCCAGGTTGAATGTCTAGGCTGCTCTTCAGTATACACCAGAATCCCGCAGACGGAATCCCCAAGCCTGCTTGCCTATGAAGAGTGAGGGTAAACAGGCAGAGAGAAAGCTTCCTTCTCCCATGTCCTTTTGATAGGTTGCTCAGATTAAAGGAGAATATTCCCACCTCAAAAAAATCTGGATTAAGCCCAGCATGCCTGTGATCCCGGAGCTCCAGAGGCAGAGGCAGAGGCAGGCACATCTCTGTGAGTGTCTACAAAGTGAGTTCAAGGCAGCCAGGGCTACACAGCGAAAAACAAAACAAAACTGGATCCTCCTACTTCAAATGAATGGTGGTGGATCATACTTTTTTTTTTACATCACCTCCCACCAACTCCCAATTTACTCATTAGACCAGGCTGGACTGGAACTCACAGGAATCCGCCTGCCTCTGCCTCCTGAGCGCTAGGATTAAAGGCCACCACCTGGCTTGGTAGCCCATTCCTTTAATCCCAGCACTGAGGAGGCAGAGGCAGGCAGATCTCTGAGTTCAAGGCCAGCCTGGATCATGGGCACCACATGCACACGTGGCCGTTGGCAGCCAGAAGAGAGTGGACTTGGAGCTATGATAGACGGTTATAAAACTTTGTGGTTCAGGGAACTGAACCCAGGTCCTCTGGAAACGCAGCAAGTACTCTTTTTTTTTTTAATTAAAAATTTTTATATTAATTACAGTTTATTCACTTTGTATCCCAGCTGTAGCCCCATACCTTATTCCCACCCAATCCTACCCTCCCTCCCTCATCTCCTCCCATGCCCCTCCCCAAGTCCAGGAAAACAGCAAGTACTCTTAACTGTTGAGCCATCTCTCTGGCCCCTCATTCCAGATTGCACTAGGCATTCCTAGTTACTTTTTTGTTTTATTTTGGCTTAAAATATATATATATATATATATATATATATATATAAATATATATATATATATATATACACACATATATACATACATACACACACACACACACACACACACATATATGCATACACACGGGTTTCTCTGTGTAGTCCCAGCTGTCCTGAGCTCACCTTGTAGACCAGGCTGGCTTCAAATTCACACAGATCTGCCTGCCTCTGCCTCCTCAGTCCTGGGACTAAAGGCATGCACCACCATGCTCGGCTTCATTTTCTTTTTTAATGTTTATGTATGAAAAATTTGTTTTCGAGACAGGGTTTCTCTAGGTATAGTCCTGGCTGTTCTGGAACTCAGTGTGTAGGCTAGCCTTGAACTCACAGAGATCTGCCTGCCTCTGCTCCCAAGTGTTAGGATTAAAGACATGGACCAAAATATGCTTTTTTACACTTCATTGAGAGAGAGAGAGAGAGAGAGTGTGTGTGTGTGTGTGTCTGTCTGTCTGTCTCATGTGGAAGTAAGAGAACAGCTTTCAGCTGGATGGTGGCGTACACCCTTGATCTCAGCACTCAGGAGGCAGGGGGAGGCAAATCTCTGTGAGTTCAAGGCCAGCCTGGTCTACAGAGTGAGGGCAGCCATGGCTACACCGAGAAACCCTGTCTCAAAAAAAAAAAAAAAAAAACAACCATAAAAATAAGTTAATAAAAACAGCTTTCAGAAATCAGTTCTCAGTTTCCCTGTGTGGAATCCTGGTATTAAATTCAGGAATTCAGGCACTTGGTCTTGGCAGCAAGCATTTTTGTCTACTGAGCCATCTCTTTGCCTCCTACTTGCTTTTTTGTGTGCACGCAGGTGTATGCTCCTTCATGTGTGTGTGTGTGCGTGTGCGTGTGCGTGTGTGTGTGTGTGTGTGTGTGTGTGTGTGTGTGGCGGGGGGACACACGTGTGCATGCAAAAGCCAAAGGGTGACACTGGTGTCATTCCTCAAACAATCTACCATTTTGTTTTCTTTAAATATTTTTGTTTCTGTGTGTGTGCATGTATCCTCATGAGTGTGAACACACGGGTGAGCATGCCTGCAGAGCCCATGGACCTGAAGTTAAAGGCACCCGTGGCTCACCAGTGTGAGTGCTGGGAACTTTAGCCCAAGCCTTCCAAAAGAGCCGAGAATACTTAACCACAGAGACGGGTGGTTATTTTCCATGTCTTTGTTTTTTGGTTTGTTTGTCTTTTGAGACAGGGTCTCGCTGTGTAGCCCTGGCTGGTCTGGAGCTCACTATGTAAGCCAGGCTGGCCTTGAACTCACGGTGATCCACCTGCCTAGTGGTCACAGGTGTGTGCCACCACAAGCTGTGTGCTTCTTTGAGATAGCGTCTTTCTCTCACAGGACCTGGGCCTCTTGATTAGGCCAAGCTGGCCAGCAAGCCTGGGGGAGCCGAGGGTCCTCACCCCCCCCCCCAAGCCCAGATTACACATGTGCCACCACACCCAGCCTCTCACGTGAGTGCTAGGGACTGAACTATGGTCCACTTTGTTTCTCGTTTGTTTGTTTGGTTGGTTTTTGTTTTCCTGGAACTCGCTCTGTAGACCAGGCTGGCCTGGAACTTGCTCTGTAGACCAGGCTGGCCTGGAACTCACTCTGTAGACCAGGCTGGCCTCGAGCTCACAGAGATCTGCAGGCCTCTGCCTCCTGGGCGCTGGGTGCCACCACCATACCCAACTTGTCCTCCTGTTGGTATATTGAATATTTTACCCACTGAGCCGCCTTCCCAGCACCCTCTAGTTCCAGGGCACCTGACGCCCTCAGTTGACCTCTGTGAGCACCACTCGTGTGTGCCCTGCACATAGAGACAGACAGACAGATGACACTCATACACATAAAATGAGATAATTTATAAAAGAAAACCTGCTTGGTGTGGTGGCAGTACACCTTTCACCTCAACACTTGAGAAGCAGAGGCAGGCTGGTGTCTGAGTTCCAAAACAGCCAGAGCTATGTACTAAAATAAACAAGCCTCAGGGACAGCTTCTGTTATCTTTTTTTTTTTTTAATTATTAAGAAAAAAAATATGTTACAAAACAATATCATCCATCATATATTTCTTATTTTCTATTTTTTAAAATTTAAAGTAATAAAAAAGTCACTTTATAAAATAATACAAAAGAGCATGATCAGTTGGGGCTGGAGGGACCATCTGAGCGCTGGGCTCAGGGATCCAGTGCTTGCTTCGCTTCTGGCCCCTCCCCAAGCTGAGCCGGGGACTAGGGAAACATGTGGGGTGGCAAGGGTCCCAGGCGGCAGGGCTCTGGACAGGCCTCCTGAAGGCAGTGGGAGAGCACAGGCGGTCAGGCAGGTGTCCACACCCAGGTGGGTCCTGGGAGCAGCCGGAGGGCCTGGAAGTAGAGGCGAGTTACCCTGGGACAGCAAACAGGCCAGCCTCCCAGCACCTCCTCCTCCAGCAGCCCGTCTAGTTTGCACTGCTCAGCATCCCTAGCAGTTTGCTGGGCTCCATCCCCTGCTGCTGGGCCACCGTCTGCACATCGAAGCCCATGTGCATGAGGAACTGAGCCACGTTCATCTCCTGCCCTGTGAACTGGTCCCGGATGGTCGGGCAGGAGGGGTTGCAGTGGGGCCAGGGGCAGCTGTCCACCAGGTGGAAAGGGCAGCCCTTGAGGGGAGTTCTGCTGGCTTTGTGGCTGTCGTGGAAGCTGCGGTCCCAGCAGTGTAGTGCCCGGGGCAGTGAGGTCCCCTTCACCTGGACATCCGTCCAGTAGCTGCAGGAAGAAGGCTGAGTCAGCAAGGCCAACGCTGTCATTGATGGGGTGTGTTTCAGTCCAGGCTCAGCGGTGTAGCCGCTTTGGGGGGCTCAGGAAGAAACCTTTCCCACAGAGCCAGAGGTGGCTCCTGGTTTGGGAGGCCCCTCAAGGCTTGTGGCATTAGTACCACGAGGCTACCCAGAAGCCACACGGGACACTGACCTCCGGATGATGAGCTCGTGGGAGAGGCAGGCAGGGGCGAAGCTGGCCCTGGTGGGGAGACAACCCGCCTGAGTCCCACAGCCTAACCCTTCCCAGACAGCCAACCCTTCCTAACCTTCCCAGACGGCCAACCCTTCCTTTTGCTGTGTCTACCAGCCACTCATCTGCCCTGGCCTTGGCTCCAGTACCCACATGCTTCATGTTGACCCATGCCCTTTGGGCCTCCAAAACCTGCCTCATGCATACCTCACCCAGCCGGGGTCTGCTTGGCAGAAGCAGGAGGCTATCCTGAAGACATGACTCTTTTGCCATTTTTTTTTTTTTTTCTTTTTTAGCCTCATGCAGTCCAGGCTGCCTCAAACTAGCTATGTGGCCAAGGATGTCTTCCCAGATGCTGGGATTATGGGGAGGCATCAATGTGTTTGGGGGTATGTGATGTTGGGGATTAAACCCAGCGCTTTGTGTGTGCTAGGCTAGCACTATGCCTGGTGACCTATGACCTATGAGCCCTCTATTTTATTTACTTACCTAGTCAGGGTCTCACTGCGTGACCAGGCTGGCCTTGAACTCACGGAAATCTGCCTGTCTCTGTCCCCTAAGTGCCTCCTGGCCTGGCCTCAAGACCTATATCTTTCAGTGAATGGCTTGGTAGGAGCACACGAGCCGCCCAGCCCAGGTCCCTTGCACACACTCACTGCACGTCCTTGAGCGTGCCACGCAGCTCTCCGCCCAGGTTCTGGATGTAGAGCCACTGGCCCTCCTGGACCGGCTGCCCAGTGAGATGCACGTTATCCACGGTCAGCTGGGCCTCGTCGAAAAGCCACTGCACCACGAACACTGGACCTGGGAGTTAGAGGCGCTCAGCTTGGCCTGCCTCTGGGGTTCAGACCCCGCCCTGCTCCTGACAACTGCCCCCCCCCCCCCCCCCCCGCAGGCCAGGATCCTGTGCCTTTGTTCTTTCTTTCTCTCTTTTTCTTTATCTGGTTCTGATGAACAACCTCTGCCCCCAACATGCCAGATAAGCATGCTACACTAAGCTACACCTCAGTCCCCCCTCTTCCTTCCTTCTTTCTTTCTTTCTTTCTTTCTTTCTTTCTTTCTTTCTTTCTTTCTTTTCTTTCTTGATTATTCTTCCTTAAAGGACTCTTGAAACCCCACTCTCCCCGCAGCTGCTCTCAGCAGCTCTCTTGGTGACACTGTTCCCTGGCATGGGACCTCACTATTCTTTGGAAAGCGGGGCTGGGGGAACTGTTTGGTGGCCCCAAAGTACAGAAAGAAAGCTTGTGAATTTGGCTCTGATGCCACCGCAAACAGTGCTAGTTTGCTTGGGACCAACAGTGCTAAAATCATGATAGCCCAGGTAAGAATGACTGTGCCGTGCTGTAGGCGCGACCACTTTTGTGGAGCACAGCTCAGGATACCCCACCACTTCCCAAATGCCTCATCTGAACCGGCACTCACAGCGCAGGGTCGGGTATACTTTGTAGCCAAAAAAGCAATTCCATTCCTCTCCTTCCTTGAACTGGCGCTGACAGCGCTCCGGGACCATCCCATTCCAGTACCTGCAGCCACAGTCACAGGTTAGGCTGCGACCTTGGGGACGGTAAGATGCCACCTCACCCCAGGCCCTTTGCACAAGATGGGGTTTTGGCATGGGGTGCCCCCGGGCACCTGATGCCACGGCGGATGGCCTCTGTGGGCGCACAGTTGATGGTATCAATGCAGTCGGAGCGCCGGTATTGTTTGTTGTCCAGGAACCAGCCGGAGTCCGCCAGGCCCCGCACCTGGACGGACGGGTAGCCTAGCTCCTCCAGCAGCTCGGCCACGCGGTCTACATTCAGCAGCACCCCGGTGCCCCCGGCGCTGAGGGAAGGCCAGACGTGAGGCCGAATGGCCGGGGAGGGGTGCCTGCTGCCCACCCGGAGCTGGCTTAGCCCGGCCCTAGTCCTGAGGAAGGGCTGCCTCTGAACAGTGAACTCTGACTGCAGGCAAGCTGCTTGTCCGTGGGCAAGACACAGGGGCCTCTCCCTCAAGGGCTGGAGGCGGAGGGCTGGAGGAGCTCTGAGCCCTGGCCCACAGCTGGACTCTCAGGACTCAGGGCGGACTCTCCTCCTTTCTCCTTGTCTGAAGAATACACACTGCAGCGTGTCAGGCCCTGTCACCCACTCCAGGCATGCATCCCACACTCCTATTGGAGTGCAGCTCCTGACCAGAAGGCGCTGTCCCAGCCCACCCTGCACTGGGCCCTGAAGAAAGGGCGTCAGAACACAACTGACCACCAACCCACCATCTAGACCACTGCAGCCCAACGCCCTCGAGGGTCCAGGAGTACTCTAAAAGGTTTCCTGCCGTAGCACACTGAGGCCAGACCCCCTGCCTGGGAGGGCTGGATCCTGCAGGGCTCTGTGAGGATGGCGGCCAGATCTGCAGGCAACTGCAGCTTCTCTGCCCGAGCCCTCCCTGCTCTCCCGCCCACTCTGCGCTCTGCCTGTGTTCCAGGGCTGTCACAACAGCTCCTGCTCCCTGCCTTGGACCCGTCCTCCTACCTGCTCCCCGCCAGCAGCAGCACCTTGGCCACACTCAGCCCTCGGCCCAGGAGCTCCCGCACCACCTCCCGGATGATGAGGGAGCCCATGAAGGCGTACTCATCTGCAGGGAAGAGGGCTCTGGTGAGGCCGGGCCCAGGGCCAGGGCTCCCGGTCCAGGAGGCTGGGGGCCTGGCCAGGGGGGAGTGGGGTAGGGCTCTGGTGAGGCCGGACCCGGGGCCAGGGCTCCCGGTCCAGGAGGCTGGGAGCCTGGCCAGGGGGGAGTGGGGTAGGGTGAGGAGGGAGGACCTGGGGCCAGGGCTCCTGGTCCAGGAGGCTGGGCCTGGCCAGGGGGAAGTGGGGTAGGTTGAGGAGGGAGGACCCGGGGCCAGGGCTCCCGTTCCAGGAGGCTGGGGGCCTGGCCAGGGGGGAGTGGGGTAAGGCGAGGAGGGAGGACCCAGGGCAGGGGCCCTGCAGAGGGTCCCTCAGCGGAGCGACGGGCCGGCAGGCACCCTAAGGCATTCGACAGTCACGCTGAGGAAGTCTGCTTTCCCAGAAGTCTCACCACCCTGCCCTGAGTTAAGGGGGCAGAAAGCCAGAACTCACTCTTCTCAGACTTGGGTGATGCCCCACTCCAAACGTCACTGGAGCAGTAGGGGATGAAGCTGTAATAGGGATCAGGTGAGCCCACCGTGGACCTCTGATGCCCAAAGCTACCACCAAAGACCCCAAGGAAATGCTGCCCAGGACAGGGCTCTCAGGAAGCTTGACCCCCCAAGCCCTCCTTAGAACAGATCCTCCAAGAAATGGACCCCATAGGAAGAATCATCCCGAAAGGATCGCCAGAAAGGATGCTTAAACAGGTACCTATAGGAAAGAGCCTCTACAAAGGACCATCACCCCGAGTAGAAGACCCTCTATTAAAGGCCACCCCAAATATGACCCCCACAAAGGCCAGCTCCCAGGATGAATCCCCACACGCTAAGAAGGCCTACAGGACAGGACTCCATAGGAAGAGAGCCCCACCACGGGAAACCCATCCCCACCACGGAAAGCCCATGCGCTCTTACACCATATTGGCATTCCACCAGTGAGGGTTCTCCTCTGGCTGGGAGGACAGAATCCCAGTACCTAGGGAAACAGAGGACGAATATGCAGGCGTGGGACTTCCTTCCAGTCCTGGCCTGAACTGAGGTTCCGGGGTGGATAGGGAGTGGTAAGAGGATGAATTGACTCATCCCAGAAGCCACCGATGCTGCCCATCATTTTAGGAAGTGGGCCTTGGGATGGGGTTCCTGGGGTGAGCGGGTCCTTCCTGGAGGATCTATTCTACCATTCCCCCCGGCCAAGCCGGTCTTGCGTTGCTGACCTGTGCGTGTGTGCGGCCAGTCTTTGGAGCTCATGAGGCGCCTCATGGTGCTGTATCTGGAGTCACAGTTCTCCCGGTTGAAGCAGTACCAGCCGCCTGCAGGCCCAGGCACCAGTCTCAGTCCCGCGGAAGACCCCCCCCCCCCAGCCCCACGCCTCAACCCGGGAACCTACCTTCCAGAAAGAGCAACCACCGCCGACTGCCCTTGGACTCCTTCAGGTAGTAGCTGCAGGGAGGCGCACAGAGCAGGATGTCAGCGGGGACGGCTAAGCCGCCGTGGTTCTCCGCCTCCTCCCGCTCTCCCGAGCCCTCGGCCCGCTCGAAGGCTCCTTCCACCTGCTGCCTGGAGCGCAGCACGGCCGCACGGGGGCGCCCGCGGCCGATCGCAACCTGAACGCACGGGCCGTGCAATACGGCTGGCCGCCCTGAGGGCACGACGGAGGTCGGGGTGGGGGAGCGTGGGGTCCGCGGAAAATTCCCACTGCCCGCGCCGCGGGGGCCCCGCGTT